ACACCGTGACTCACTCTCAGCAGAATGACTTCATGAAAATAAGAGACCACAAGTATTGGTAAAGGTGTGGAGAAAAAGGGAGTCACACACTGCCAGTGGGAGTGTAAGATGCTACAAACACTTTGAAAAATTGCACTCATATTAAAACTGCGCACCCCCCCCCCCCCCACAGAGCAATTCCACTCCTAGGAGTATACCCAACTGAAGTGGTCACATCTATTCACCTAGAAGCAAACACAAGAATGCCAAAGCAGCTGTAAAATAATCCCATATGGAACAACTTGAATCCAAGAGTACAGGAGAATGCAGAAATAAATTGTGGTCTAGCCATACAGTGAAGCACGCCACACCAATAAGAACAAATGCATTCCTGCTAAATGCTACATGGGTGAATCTGACATATTGAGCATAAAATGCATGATACAGAAAGCATACAACAGGATTCCATGTATCAAAGGTTTAAAATCAAGTAAAACTGTTTAGCAATGCTGGAAGCCAGGATAGTAGCTACTCTTAAGTAGTGACTGGAGTGGGCATACAGGGCTTCTGCAGTATTAATATTGTGTCTCATCCTGGATGCAGGCTGCAGGGCACATGTTCTCTGTGTGAAAGCAGCTGTACTCTGACCATGTGTACACTTCTCTGTATGTAGGTTGTATTTCATTAAAAAAAAAAGTTAAAAAAATAACTAGGTGTAAGTTCTTCTGACAGTCACTGGGTAAAGTGTCTTAGTTCCTAGAGCACGCCATAATTCTCCACACTTCTTAGCTGACCCGAGCAGAGGGACGTGAAGAAATGGTGTAAAAATACATTGTGGGTGAAACAGCTATAGTTAAAGGTGGAAACAACCTGACCCAGCCCAGCTCTTTAAGCCAAGTTAACGGAGGGATTCAGCACCTGGGTAGTGTATTGTGATTTCTTTTCTCTTTCTTCTTCTTTTTTTTTTTTTAACATAAAAATTTTTTTTTACATTTTACTTTTTTTTTTTTTTACATTTATTAGGTAAAGGAGAAAGAACATGAGAGACACCTGCATGGACACACAGGCCGAGAGCTTCCGCTGCTGCTTTGCAAAGGGGAAAGTTTTGAGAACAGAAACGCCTGCATAGTCACAGGCAGGTGGGAGAGCTGCCGGGTTGTGATTTCTAATTTACCTCTCCAGGACTGCATCTGTTCTGTGAAAGGCTGTCAACTCATGAAATGATGGTGGAGGGAATGCCTGGAATCATTAACCCTAAATAAAGCCATATTCTTGCCAAGACCATCACCAAGACCATCAGCAGGGCAGAGTGACTGTGACCCGAGCAGAGGGCTGTGAAGAAATGATGTAGAAACACAGCGTGGGAGAGACAGCAGCTGCAGTTAAAGATCGAAACAACCTGACCCAGCCCGGCTCTTCAGGCCAAGCTAATGGAGGGATTCAGCACACGCGTTTCTTTGGGACAGTAAGGTGACTGCCTTCTCCAGCAGCCTTTTCCTCCTCTTTCTGCGGCCTGGGTGTTTGAGGCAGTAGGTAAAGGAAGCAGGAAAGAGGGAGGCGGTAAATCGGGCAGATGCGGCGCAGGCACGGGACCAGGCTGGGCTCCAGGGCGGGGGGATTCCCGCAGCTCGAGGTGGGGCAGGGGCGCGCGATCCTGCTGCCTCCGGAGGCCCGGGCGGCGCCCGAGCTGCCTTCCCTCCCCGCCGCCCTCCCGTCGCCCCGGCCCGGGTGCCTGCCCAGGTCGGCCGCGCGGACCCGGAGCGCTGCTGGCTCACCTGCGCGGTGCGCGCTGGGCGGGCGGGTGCGGTGCGCGCGGGCGGGCGGGCGCGGGCTCCGACGCGTGGTGCCGGCGGACCCCCGCCGAGGGGAAGTGTCGCGCGCGGGCCCCAGCACTAGGGCGCCCGCTCCCCCGGAAGCGGCGAGGCGGGCCCGCCGCCCTTCCTCCACCCCCTCGGACGCTTGGAGGCGTTGGGACCGCGGCTTAGGGGAGGTGCGGAGCTCAGAGCCACAGGGATCCCGGCCGGCCTGACTTGGCCCCGCGCTCCAGGTTTGGAGCCGTCTCGTGCGTCGCGGGCAGTGCCCTCCGTGAGACCCCTCCGGAGTCTCCGGGACTGGCCACGGCGAGGGGTTTCCGTGCCAGCAGGTAGGTGTCGGGAGCTACCCGCTGGGGAAACTGGGTGATGAGCCTTTACTCTGAGTTCCCCTGAAACTCACGAGAACTGTGGGGGAGAAGGAAAGAGGCCTTTATTTCATTCATTTAGTCCTTTAAAGCCCTGCAAGGGAGGTGTTTACACTTTTTTCTATACATGAGAAAATGAGGCTTGAAGATGGAAGGATTTTTCCAAAGTTCGCAAGCAGTAGCTGGTAAGAGGGGGCTGGGTGCAGGAGAGCTGGTGTGTGTGGTTTGGCAGCTGTAAGTCAGACCACCAGGGCACAAGTCTGGAGGGCTACTTGGGCATCCAGCTGGAGCCTAATTAATGTTCACTAAAGCTAAGCCCGGCTCCTGGCCAGAGTCCCCAAAAGGCTTGGCTGTCCTGCTTCTGAAGAGCGCTGATGGAGCGGCTACAATAGCGTGATGGGTGAGCTCTCCGCCAGTGCTGCGTGAAACAAAGGGAAGGGATTCCCTTCCCTTTTGGGCTGTTGCTGAGCATTTCCCACCCTTATTTCACCATAGCAGAGACAGCTTCCTGAGCACGTGGGTCCAGGAAACACTCCTACGGTTAGGCACCTGACTGCAAGCTGACTCATGAGCTCTCTCTTAATTTGCTTTCCTCACCAGCCAAAGGGAATGAGTGTTCAATCCTGGGAGGTTTGAGGGGGGCCCTGGAATCAGAGGGTCCCCAGGGCTCATCACTTACTAGCCATGTGAACTTGGGGGAAGTTTGTGACGTGTTTGGGCTCATTTTCCTCACCCAAATTAGTTGTTGGTTTCTAGCCTAGTTTTAACGTGTAGATAGAGATGAAGTGGGGAGTACAGGAAGGGGTTCTTTTAAGCATTTACATCCCCGCCCCCCCATGCTAGTGCAGCTGTTTCCTCCCCCTGAGCGGCCCTCCCTCTTTCCAGCTCTGAGCTTCCAAAAGTCTCCACTTTAAGCAAAAGACACTTTTGCAGCTTCAGCAGGAAAAACACGTCTTAACCCTGCCCTTCCTCCCCATAGCCCCATTGTACCCGCATTATTTGGAGCTGACCTCTCTTAGCTCAACCCTTTCCTGGGGCCAGGGCTCATCTTCAGCTCTGGGTGAGCAAGGAGACACCCAGGGCAACACTGACCGGGGAGCGAGTGTAGAACAAGCACGGTGACAGCTCGTTGTTGGTGCACAGGGAGGACGCCTGTGGCATGTGTTCTCCTGTAATTTGAAGAAAGCTCTGTGGGAGTAGAGGCTTCGTGAATGCATTCTTTAAAAGCACAGCCTTTGTTGTCTTGGAAAAAAACAGCTTCTGGTGAGGAGCCAGAAGGAGGCTTTTTCCTTCTGATTCATGCACAGGGGTGTCTGTGCTGAAGTGGTGTGAGTGAATACTGTGCCTAAGGAGGCTCCTTACAGGGTTAACATAGATGTTGGGTTTGGCCTGAGTGTCCCTCCCTGGCAAGTTCCTTCCTGGCAAGTTACTTCCGGTCTTGCAGCACCATGCTGAGGTGGCTCTTCCTCTTCTGCTCACCTCATTGCTCCTGGTTGCTCCACACCCCCAGCTCCGCACCAGTGCTTCTAATGTTACCTCCCTGGTAGCACGTCTCCCCTCCCCCACTATCACCAATTTAGTCAGCCCACACCCATCTTTCACGTTCACTCGTCTCCAAAAACCATTTTGAAGGGGGAGTGGGCATTTTACTAGCTGCCTCTATCCCCCTCACTTCTCCCTTCTGAATAACTATCCACACCTCAAACCCACTAGAATTGCTTTCCCTGTAGTCCCCACTGACCAATTTGGTACCAAATCCATTTGGCACGGGTATGTATACCCCGACCATCCTCCCAGACCCCCATGACACCTCTCCCCTGGCTTTTCTCCTCATTCCTTGGCTACTTCCTCAGTGTCTTCTTCTTTGGTTCATTCCTTAAATGGCAGTGGGAGCACTCCAGCTTCCACCTTGGCTCCCTAATTCTTCTGCCCTCCTGGGTGATGCCATCCTCTTCCATGATGCTCATCTCCCGACCTACAGCCCAGATCACCCAAGGGCCACAGCAAAAAATTCAACCCTCTGCTGAATGGTGGACAGGCACCCTTACCAAACATGCCTCAAACCGTACCCCTCATTTTGTCCCACACCTCTTCCCATGCTGTTGTGCCTCATCTCAGTGAAAGGCATCACATCCACCCAGTTATCTGAGTCAGAAGCCTGGGAATCTCACCTGATGCCACTTTTTGTTCTATTGTTACTTCTTGGACCCATAAGCCCTTACCATGACAGGGTAGGCCCCGACATCTCTGCCATGTGGACACAGAGACAGCCTCCCATCTGGCCTCTTGCCTGGATCGTGACCTATTCTCTACAAGGCACCTAGCATGATCTTCCTGAAAGAAAAATCAGCTCATCTCACTTCCCTATTGAAAAATCTTTCAGTGGCTCCCTGCCTACAGGACAAAATCCAAGTTCCACAGCATGGCTCTTTGGTCCAGGGTCCTTAATTACTACCTCCCAAGCTGCCCCTTCTTTCACGCCATGATCTAGTCAGGACAAGTCACTTGCAGTGCCTTGAATCATGTTAGTTCTCGCCTCCAGACTACTGTATATGGTTTCCCCTCAGCCTGGGATCACCCCCTTCCTGCTCTCCTCCCTTCAGTATGTTTTACTGCTCACTCTTTAGGCTCAGCCCAGAGGTCAGCTGCCCTGGGAAGCTTCACACAGGACGCCCCAGCTGGGAGGAGGTGTGTTATGCATTACATCTGCTCAGGGAGCGAGGGGTAGAGAGAGGTAGGGATGCTCCAGTGAGAACACATATAGATCTTCCTCAGCTTCCGATGGGGTTATGTCCTGCTGAACCTGTTCTAAGTTGAAAATACTGTAAATTGAAAAAGCATTTAATGTAGCTAACATACTGAACATAGCTGAGCCTAGCCTACCTTAGCCCACAGGAGGGCAAAATCCTCATTTTAGAATAAAGTGCTGAATATCTCACATAATTTATTTAATGTTGCATTGACAATGAAATACAGACAAGATGGAATGGGGAGACACAAAACACAATATCCAAAAAATGCTGGTGACGCTACATGATAGCATATGGGTTGTGATCTGGCTCGCCGCCTCCGCCTGGCATCCTGAGAGTATGGTAGGCACAGCACTAGCCCAGGAAAACAGCAGAAGACAAAACGATGGTTTTCTACTGAATGTGTATGTTTTCACACCATCATAAAGTCTAAAAATTGTAAGTTGAATGATCATAAGGGGTACACTGTCTGTGCTATGCTTTGCCTACTAGTGTCTCTCTAGCATGCAGTCCTGGGCCTGGTGAAGAGCTGGACCTGAGTAAATACTGAACAGATCAACGAACCCATCCCTTCTACAGCCAAAGCCCTGCAAGAGCTTGGGAGGAGGGGGTACTAGCTGAAACCTAGGACTTCAGAGTGCTCCTGGAAGGAGGCTATGCTCCTCCCAGCCTGGTAGCAGAGGCCAGCAGGTGCGTCCAAGGCCTCTGCCATGAGGTGAAAAATGGAAGGGAAAGAAGACTGGAAGGAATGAATCACATTTATTACACATGAATAGGAGGAACAGACAAATCACTAAATCTGGACCTGGCTGTGCCATAATACCCCCTCCCTGCCCGGGCTCTGAGAAGGACAGAGGCATTCTTTATGAGCGGTATTAGGAACAAGCCAGTTCGGGGCCACAGCCCCTGTGGTGTTCTGTCCAGGCGGACAGCCTTGGCGGGAGGCATCAGCCTGAGCCAGGGATCAGTCCTGGAGTCCTGTCCCATCATTCTCTGTCAGCCTGGGCCTCAGGCACAGACCCTCAGAGCTGGTAGTCCACCCCTGCCCAGCCATCTGGGGGCTGCAGGGCCTGGATAAGAGGAGCGGAGAACACTGAGGAGCATGTGAACATGGGCCAGAATTAGAGGTGTGGGTGACGGGTGGGACAGTGGGGCCCAGTGCAGAACTTACAGGCTCAGATGATATTGTGCTCCAGGACCTTCTCTCCCAAGTAAAAGCGGGTGAAGAGGAAGGGGCTCAGGTTGATGGTCTGGAAGTGGCCCTCCAGCACCATCTCCGCCACGGCTCGCCCCACAGCAGGAGAGTGCTGGAGCCCATGGCCACTGAAGCCCGTAGCAAAGTACATGTTGACGACGAGGGGGTGGGGGCCCACCACGCCATTCTGGTCAAAAGTGTTGTAGTCGTAGTAGCCAGCCCAAGCTCTCCGAACCTGCGAGTGCAGAAGGCACCGGGCTTCTCAAAAGCTGCGCACGCTCCACCCACCCTCTTGGTTGGGGGCAGCACACGGTTCCCTCTACCAGCTGCCGAGGGGGGATTAGAATGAGTCCTCAGACTGAAGGTCCTTAGCAGTTGTGAGGTAGAGGGTGAGTGGCGGCAGACACACTTTCCAAGGGGACTGAGATGCTCCAGTGAAAGCTGACTCCTTCCAGTTACCTTGAGAGTCTCAAACGCTGGTACCCTCCGGGCCAAATGGGGCCACACCTTGTCCTGGAAGAAGGCATGGTCCACTTCCAGGTTATCTGGGTCCGGTTCCTCCCCCTGGGGTGAGAAGTGGGGACAAGGTTGGTAATAATACCTGGGACACAGGGCAGACTCAGCTCAATTCAAACCCAGAGTGGGCAGCAACATTAAGAACTGGGCTGTGCTCTCCAAATATTCCTATGTCTTTAATTGGCCCATGTCTCCTTCCAGCACCCGTACCTCACTTAACTTACCTCAGTGGGGCTGCAGCCACCCAGGTAGTTGCTACCTAGTCCTTCCCGGCGGAAATAGGCTCCAGTGGTATCTGCAACCAGTGGAGCCTCCAGGCCTGGTCCCTGGGGGCAGTGCCATAAGTACACGTACCTGCCATAGGAAGCATTGGGAATGACAACTCCCACCTCTTCCCAACTTAATCAACTTTTATGTCATTTCTTTCCTTCTCTCACCAACCTCCTCAGCTCCCTGAGGGAAATCACCTTTTCCTTGGCTCCACAGGTAGCTTGGTGCCCTGCAGGGTGCCAGGCTGCCCCTTCCCAATACCAGCCAGCTCTGCAACTTGCCCAGACCAGGCCCCTGCTGCATTGATCACTATGGCACACTCCACAGGCTGGTACTCCAGGCTGTGGTCCATCTTCACCTATAGACACAGAGCAGGGAGGGAGGCAGGGCTGGGCCCAGACACTGGGTACCTTTAGAACTTCATTTCTTCCCAAGCCTTAATTTATCCAGGTTGGAAGTGGCAAAAGATCAAATGACAGTCTTTATGTTTCTCATTCCTCCATCTTTGGCAAGGAAGACACTTAAGTCTAGGCACTTACATGGACTTCATGGATTCTTTTCAAAGTCACCTCTTCCCCACTTATGGTCTGCATACAGTCAGATGAAGAGATGAAACCTGCAGGAAAAGAAAATACACCCTTAAGGCCTTTAAGAGCAAGGATATGGGGATTCCACTGTTTTCATAAGGAAAGAACGCTGGAAGGCTGGGAGCTTTCCCATAGACACCACAGCAAACAGATGTAGGGTGACTGGGATGAACTTGGCTACACGAGGGAGAGGAGGGCTGATGTGGGCAAGTAGGTCATGACTCATGAAGAAGCCAAGTTGAAAGTTGGCATTAGGATGCCCAGGACCAGGCCTTAAGGAGAACCCCCTTCCCACCACCTCTAGCATGGCCTGTGAATGAAGATAAGACTCAGTCTAAGCCTGAGGCCTGGCTGGCAGAAGAGACAAAAGTGGGGTTGGGGCCCCAGACTCACGTGTCACCTCTCCATGGCAGAAAGTGACTCCCATGGACTGGACCTTTCGTCGAAGCCCCTGGAGCAGACACCATGGGTCAAACCAACCCTCACCCTCTAACCCTGTGATGAGAAAAAGAGGTCTCAAGAAGAGGGTCTAGGACCCTCCTCTTACTAATTTCTTGCACCCCTAACTCCTCTTTAGGGCTTGTAAGCTGGGAAAGTCATGCTTTATCAACTGTCCTGAGGTCGAATCCTGTGGAAGGACAGAGAGCAGGCACGATCAAGGAAGGCCCTGGCAGCGAGTAGGGAAGGGGTGCTCCTTGAATTGGCTACAGAGCACTGACATTTCCCATCTGAGGCCCCCATCAACCCCTGATCTCCCTGCAAGCGAGCCTCACCATAGGATGCCAAAGCCACGCCCTCTGTGTTGATCCAGGGAAACTTGTTCTGAAGCTGCTCAGGAGACATCAGACAAACCTTGGCTCCTTCCTGCCTGAGAGAAACACATGAGTCTGTGTATGTGGGCTAGACAGGGCAAGTGTGCAGTCCTCAAGGGAGAGCTATGGATCCAGCTCCACAAGTAGGGGTTTCACCTTGTTCATGTCACTTTTCTGCTCCAAACCCCTCAAATTTTCCTTGTTGAAGGGATACAGACCAAGCCTCCTAATCAAGGTTCTTTGGCCTCTGGCCCCTTTTTCCTTCCCCTCCCAGCCTTGCATCCCTGTGGCCACACTAATGATGCCATCCCCTAAAGATGCTGTGTCCTTGGGCTTCCCAGGTGGCGCAAGGGGTTAAGACGCAACCTATGAGGCTGTTCGCAGCCACTGTAGCACAAGTTCGATCCCCAGCCAGGGAGATACCCACATGGCACAGCAGACCTCTCCTGTCTCGCCCGCTGCTCTCCTCAGCAGTGTATTTCAGTCAGTCTGCCTGTTCTGTTCCCCATTCTGTCTCTGGTGAATCCTCCCACCCCCGGCGCCTCTGGCCTGTACCCCAGCTCTTGTATGCATAAATAAATAAATCTTAGGAAAAAAAAAAGGTGCTGCATCCTCTGATGGCGGGGTGGGTCATGTTGTTCCCTCTACTCCTTTTCCTTGGCCTGGAATGACCTTCCTGACACCTCCTAGTGTAGTGCTGCTCATCAGCAGTCTCCTCCAGAGTCCTACCAAGGCAGCACCATAGGTGCTAAATGAACACACGGGTTCAAAGTCCAGTGCTCCCCTTACTAGCTCCTCGTGCCTTAGTCTCCCCACTAAGATATGTAATATGTAGATGGTCTGACACCAAGTTAATACCAATGTCACTCGTGAGGCTTGTGGAAGAGTCTGTCACAGATGCCCGCTCCTGAGTGGTCAGGAGAGCCACTTAGGGCAGGGGTTGCCAAATCTGGCCTGCTGTTGGTTTTCGTAAATGAGCTACATTTATTCATTTGTTTTTTTCTATAGTTGCATTTATGCTTCAACTGTAAAATTGCGTGACTACAGCAGAGACCACATGGGCTGCAAAACTTAAGGGCCAACTTACTGTGTTACAGAAAAAGTTTATAGATCCTTAGGCTCCTGCCTGGAGATCTGGTTTATTAGGTCTAAGATGTGTTGTACATGATTCTTATGATTTGGCAAATTTAGGAACCACTGTGGCAGTGTTTTCTTATGGCACCCAGCACCGGAGAAGGAAGGTCTGTACATGTCTGTCTTCCTTGATGGAGTGAGGTCCTAGAGTAGGAAACTAAGACTCCCACCACCCCAGTTCCTAGCTTGCAGCAGAAGTGGAGGGCCCACGTGGGGCTGAGCACGGCTGAGGTCGGACCCAGCACCCACCTCTGCACTTTCACGTTGCGCTCCATGATCCCGGCATCCTGTTCTGAAGCCAGCAAAAGGTAGCCTGAAGGGTTGAACTGGAGGTCCAGGGGAGGGTCATCAACTACAGCCAGGTACTCCTGTGTGCAAAGAAAAGCTCCTCAAGACAGTGGATTTAGAGGAAGGGAGAGCTTTCCTGGGCTTCTCACCCACAGCTCCTGGGGCTCCACGGCCCAAGCAAGCAAGCTCTCCCTAAGCACCACTGCAGGGAAGACTGGCGGATCAACTCCTAAAGGCCCCAACTGCTCCTGTTCCCTGCTTCCCTTAGCCAACTGGGCTGCTTCTCTCTCTAGGCTAAAAAAAGGGTCACCACCCCAACCCCCAAATCTCATTGCACATACATTGATGTTCCGTAGAAAGTTGATTGAAAAGAGGGAGAGCTGGATGTTTTCAGGCAACGAGAACTGCTGACGAATCCCACCCACGGAGAGCCCAGTGGAGGCCTGGGAATACTGTGGAAAGATAAGAGAAGTTGAGGAGACCAGTACCGTGTCACAAATGAGAACACTATAGCGGAAGTGTGAGTCACCCACCTAAAGGCAGTCCTACTTGCAAGTTTATAATCTAAGAGAAGCTGTGGTAGAAAAGCTTTTATGCAAGCCAGCCAGCAGCCCAAAGAGGACAGAAGTTATTACATCCATATTAGCAGATGTGCAGAGCAGAGTCATCTTCTAAATGGGCTGGGTGTGGTGATACTAAATGGCAATGGCCTGGAAGTCCAAGGGCCAGAGATTAACATTTCACCTACAAACTGACCACAATTGCAAGAGTTACAGCTGGCTGGCAGTGGCAAAAAGGGAAAACTAAGGTACAAAACTCTCAGAAGTATAGAGCCGAAAAAGGCAGGGAGACCATTGTGTGTGTTCATTATCGTCTAATCGCAGGCTCTCTTGGCCAGATCTGTGACTTCTCCAACCATCTCCGACGTTGTGAAATTTGCTTCCAAAAGCAAACACGTTTTGCCAAGGGATCCAGTTTGAAGAAGAACCTGGGACTATTTCTCAACAAGGTCCAAAGTGCACTCCCTGCCCCGAGGACTTCCAAAAGTTGAGATCTTTCCCCTGCCCGCCCTCCTTTGTAATAAACATGACTCTGTGCCCAGTCAGGACTCTGCCCTCCCTCAGACCTCACCGTGTGGTCCCGTTCCACCACCAGCACACGGATGGCACCTCGCTGCTTCTCCAGCCTCTTCAGCCAATAGGCTACAGACAATCCAAGCACCCCACCCCCCACAATCACCACATCCGAGTGTTCGGGGGGCAGGTGGCTGGTGTCATACAGTGGATCCCAGGTCCCTCCAGGAAGGACTGACTGGAGCTTCTTCTTAATCTCGGACACCTTTCCATCCCAGTCTGTGGGATGCAGTCAGAGTCAAAGAGGGCCATCTGTTTCCTTTCCAGGTGGTGGGGGTTAGAGGATGGGAACAGTGAAAGGCTAGACTGATGCTGAGTTGGCAGTCCCAGTGTCATTCCCTGTCATGTGCTGAACTTGCACTCAGCAGTATTCCACAGCTTTGTCATGGATGTCATTAGTCTCTCCTCCTTTCCATGCATCATGCCCCACACTGCAAGAACCAACTTCCTAAAAGTAACACTCTATACTATCTCTCTCGGTGAGGCCACTTACACATATTTATCTCCTGCACAGATCTGTCTTCCCTGTGAGCCCCCAGGATCATATATTTGACTGCATAGCCATCTTTGCATGGGTAGTCGAGGCTCCTGGACCAAGATGCCCAGCTGCAGCATCCTCTGAAACATGGTGCCTCTGAGTGGCACTTATCCTGGATATCCACCACCACCCGCGAACCTACATTCATGTCCTATCTATTATCAAGGTTTGAAAACTTTGCCTCCTCAATTTTCCCCCTTTTTTCCCATCTCTCCCACTGCCACCCTAGACCAAACCACTACAATCGCTCCCCCAGACTAACACAAGTCTCCTGACTTCCCACAAATTTTCTTGTTCACATCCCCACCCCCAGCTTCTTTTCTACATGACCTTTTCCAAGCACTAGTTTAGCCACACTGAATTAGCTGTGGTACTAAATCATATCAAATTACTGTTGTCCTCTTGACTAAAACCCCCCAATAGCTTTCTATTAGTCTAAAATAAAAGTTCAGTATCTTTAATGTGGCCCACTGTACAAAGCTTCGCCTTTCTTTACCTCCCATCTCCAGTGTAGCACAATACCTGGCACACCCTAAGTGCACAATAAATGCCTTGAAGAAATTAATACTTTTGTCATTCACATCTAATCCACACATCTCCAACTCTTGTCCCTGTCTTCAATAAAAATTCAAAATCGTCTCAGCAGCATTTGACTCTTTATTTTTATCTGGGTTTACCTTACCTGTCCACACAACATTTACCTGTTCATTACTGCTACCTGAACTATCTAGATTCTTTTTGCTAATTCCTTCCACAAAAACAAGTCCCCCTCCCCCCCATCCGAACCTTTGAGCATTTCCCCAGAACCTTTCCTGAGCCAGAAAACATTATCCTTCATGGATGATGTCAGTTCACACCTACTCTATGTATTTTTTAAATTATAGAGCTTTGGTAACTAGCAGTGCAGGGCATTCTCCAAACTGAATCCTCTCTGGTCTTGAGCTAGCCTACTGAAGTCTTCCCAATCAAGCTACACTTCAGGCACCCCCAGGTCATATATTGAATCCCCCCTTTTTCTTTTTTCCACGGTTAAAGCACTACATTTTGCAAATAAGCAGGCATGAACGCACATCTGTGCAGCCAGTGAATGAGTCAGGCTCTCTGTTATCCCAGTGGTAAGCTAAGCCTACAACGATCTGGGACTTGTAACCTGGGGTATAAAGGCCTAAGTCTATATAACTGCTCAGGATCTATCAGGATCTACAAGCTCTGGCAGGAAGGTAACCCCTTATCCCAGCTGATCCCTTGTTTCCCCAAAGTGGGCCGGGATGCCGCGTTCTGAGGGTCACATCGCACACAATACCCTCCGCTACCCTCAACTTTACCCAGAGTAGAGCCTCCTCTGCGTGTGCCCAGTCCCCGGCTCAAAAGGCCGGGGGCAAAGCCGAGGTGCAGCGCCCTTCGAAGCATGGTGACAGCTTGGCCCCTACCGGAGCAGCGCTCAACCTGTAAACCACGCGCACCCTGACGTCACTGCTCCGCGCCGCCAGCCTTCAGGTGAGCGCGCCCATTGGTCCGCGGGCCCCTCTGGACCCCGCCCCTCTGTGGCAGAGGCCGCCCTCTCTCCGTGACCGCCTCGAGAGCCCCGGCCAGGCCCGCCATTGGCGAATCTGGCGTTGACGTCAGTCTTGCGCGCCTTCGGGCGGGGTGGGAACCGGCGACTCCGAGCGGAAGTGCGGCTGAGCAGGTTTCCGGGGCCGCTGGTGTGACGTGTCCCGCGCTTGGCGCAGCAGGAAGCGGCGGCGTTCGCGGCCTGAGCTCCCGGCGCCGGCCCCGGCTCCTTTCCCGCTGCCGCCATGCTCGACTTCTTCACCATTTTCTCCAAGGGTGGGCTCGTGCTCTGGTGCTTCCAGGGCGTGAGCGACTCATGCACCGGGCCCGTTAATGCGTTGATTCGTTCCGTGCTGCTGCAGGTACCGCCCCCGCGGGATCAGAACTCTGGACTCACCCCCTGACTTGGTCCATGGTCCCCTTCGACTAATCCCGTACTTCTTTTTCACCCCCTCCGCCGGTCTCAGACTGGCCCTTCACTCGTAAACCCGGCCTTCACTTTTTTCTCCCGCCCCCATCGGACAATCCCGCAAGTTTGCGACGCCCCCTCTTCTCTCGGCTTTCTGGGACGCCAGCCCGCTTCTGGCGCCTCTTGAGACTTAACCATCGTTCCCTCTACTCTCCCACGGAGCTTGCTTTTCTGTTGTTGGAAAGCCGAGTGAGATAGTGAAAGGGAAATTGCCTTTTTAAAACTAACCGGTGTACAGCTGGTAGTAGATCTGATTGTTTACATCAGGGCTGCTTCCCTTCTGGTCCCACGTGTCTTGCCTCCCCTCTCGCCTCTTTTCCCCTTACACCCAACGTACATCCTTTTCTTTGGTGGGATGTTAGAGAGCAATACCCCAGCGTCTTCTTGCCCTAGGTTCAAGTTTGATTTTGGGGTTTGTCTAGTTCATCCCCGAAGGTAATCCTGGAGAGGCCCAAGTCTGGGTTTTCTGGGAATAGTCTGAATTCTGAGATACACTGTTTTTTTCAGGAAAGGGGCGGTAACAACTCCTTCACCCATGAGGCACTGACACTCAAGTATAAACTGGACAACCAGTTTGAGCTGGTGTTTGTGGTAAGTGGCGGTATTTTAGAGATAAAATAATTATGTTCTTAACACAGTCTTGGTTATGAAGAGGACCTTCCTTGATCATTTGTACCTAGTTTATATGGGGAAGTTAACTGAGAAGACAAGAAAGGTGGGGGGAGAAAGGGAAGAAGCTCCTGGGCCATCAGGGAGCTTGTTGCCCCTCAGGTCAGGGAAACCTGCCAGGTGTTCAGCCAGTCTCTAGACGCTTGGGTGGAGTTGGCTTTCCTCCCTGTTCTGGCCCTGAATGTAAGCAGATCTGTTGGCTCTGTTTCTTTCCCTAACCAGGTTGGTTTTCAGAAGATCCTAACACTGACGTATGTAGACAAATTGATAGATGATGTGCACCGGCTATTTCGGGACAAGTATCGCACAGAGATCCAACAACAAAGTGCTTTAAGTCTATTGAATGGCACTTTTGATTTCCAGAATGACTTTATGCGGCTCCTTCGGTGAGAGGCTCCCTTCTCCAAAATCAGTTTGTGTGACTTGATGAGCACCCTTCCTTCCTGATTGTGGTCCAAGGGTAGTAAACTTTGTCTTGAAAGACACTACTGGATTTGCTGCCTCGTTCTAATTGTCCTATTGGTGTGAGGGACCTTTCTCTGGACATTGATCATTTTCTTTTCTCTTCAGTGAAGCAGAGGAGAGCAGTAAGATCCGTGCTCCCACTACCATGAAGAAATTTGAAGATTCTGAAAAGGCCAAGAAACCTGTGAGATCTATGATTGAGACACGGGGTGAAAAGCCCAAGGAAAAATCAAAGAACAGCAAAAAAAATAAGGGGGCCAAGAAGGAAGGTGAGTCTGAGCTCCTGGGACACCGTGGGGCATGAAAAGTTATTAGTGTGGTACTGAGGTCCCCTGCCTGTCCTTTGTCATTGCTTGTCCCTTATGTCATTGCTCATCCCTTGCTCATAATGCTCACCACCCTTACTCTCATTCCATTATGTAACCCCAAGATGTAGTTGCTCCTAGTTTCCACTTAAGGAAGAAGGAAGTTTTACCCATTGTCTATTTTGTTAGAATTTGGTCCTTTTTCTTCAGTGAGTTTTCTCCTAACAGGTTCTGATGGCCCTTTGGTTACCAGCAAAACAGTTCCTGCAGAAAAGTCAGGCCTCCCAGTGGGGCCTGAGAATGGGGTAGAACTTTCCAAAGAGGAGCTGATACGCAGGAAGCGAGAGGAGTTCATTCAGAAGCATGGGAAGGGTATGGAGAAGTCCGGGTGAGCATTCCAACTTTTGCCATGAATACGGTTATCTAGCCGTGCTTGGGGGCAAGGGTATTTTTGTCTCTGGCTCTTGGGTAGATGTTTCTTACTTCATCATAACCCATTGTGTGTAACTTTTTACAGCAAGTCCATGAAGTCAGATGCTCCAAAGGAGAAGGGCAAAAAAGCACCCCGGGTGTGGGCATTTGGTGGTGGTGCTAACAACGAAGTCTTGGATTATAGCACTCCCACCACCAATGGCGCCCCAGAGGTTGCTCCGCCTGAGGACATCAATTTGGTAAGAGGGAACAGACCAAAGTGAAGGTTCCATTAATAAGAAATTGGGGAGGAAGTAGAGACTAGGAGGGCCGGTACCTGATTTTTTTAAGTCAGGTACTTATTTAAAGCAAGGGGGTAAGTTATATTTGGTACTTTCCAGAGATGGAGCAATGCAGACAGGGCAAATCCTGGGCTTTCTGCCCTCTCAGAGCAGCCCTTAATGTTCCTCACCCCATCTCCTTTCTTTTCCTATGCCCTCCAGATTCGAGGGACTGGTCTTGGGGGGCAGCTTCAGGATCTGGACTGCAGCAGCTCAGATGATGAAGTGGCCGCTCAAAACTCCACCAAACCTAGGTAGGGGAATTTCAGGGTTGGTGGGATGTGTGGCTCGAGATTGGAGACTTGACTCCTGCCCACTGGCTTTTTGTGTGTGTGGTGTTTCTGCAGTGCTACCAAGGGGACTCTTGGTGGCATGTTTGGGATGCTGAAGGGCCTCGTGGGTTCCAAGAGCTTGAGTCGTGAAGACATGGAGTCTGTGCTGGACAAGATGCGTGATCACCTTATTGGTGAGTTCTAAAGCAGGTGGACTCAGTGTTCATAGGATAGGGAAATGGAGAGAACCACCTAGAATTTCACCTGTACCGTAAGGTGGTTCACTGTTGACACAGTACCCTCACATCTGTTCCCCTCTCTCAGCTAAGAATGTGGCAGCAGACATTGCGGTCCAGCTCTGTGAATCTGTGGCCAACAAGCTGGAAGGGAAGGTGATGGGGACGTTCAGCAGTAAGTATCTTCCTGATCCAGAGGTATTACTTATAATTACCAGAAGGTAAGCACACTGACCTTCACTCTTAGGAGGTGTGACTTTTGGCAAGCTCTCTACCCCAACCTCTGCTATACAACTTTCACTTTAAGAGTTGCTAGGAGGATTAAGTGAGCTCATACTTGTAAAGTACTTAGGACAGTATCAGATGTGGTGTGACTCTTGGGACAGATCTTAGTATCATCCAGATCCTAGTTCCCTTAGCTCAAAAAGGTGTTGGGTGTTATTGGAATCCATTTCTTGGGTTTCACTGATGCACCCCCCGCTTCCTCCCCTTTTCAGCGGTGACTTCCACAGTAAAGCAAGCTCTGCAAGAGTCCCTGGTGCAGATTCTGCAGCCACAGCGTCGTGTAGACATGCTCCGGGACATCATGGATGCCCAGCGTCGCCAGCGCCCTTATGTTGTCACTTTCTGTGGTGTTAATGGAGTGGGCAAGTCTACTAATCTTGCCAAGGTCCGTGCACTTTCCTGCCTTTCCCTGATATTTCTTCACTCTCCATGTCCCAGCAGCTCTGGTTCTAGGTCAGTTTTTTTGGCCTCTTGTGCAGATTTCTTTCTGGCTGTTGGAGAACGGCTTCAGCGTCCTTATTGCTGCATGTGACACGTTCCGTGCTGGGGCTGTGGAGCAGCTGCGCACACACACCCGGCGGCTGACTACCCTTCACCCCCCTGAGAAGCATGGCGGCCGCACCATGGTGCAGCTGTTTGAGAAGGGCTATGGCAAGGACGCAGCAGGCATCGCCATGGAAGCCATTTCCTTCGGTAACATGCAGAAAGCTGGGAGTGTGTCTGGGCCCCTTTGGGTACCCTACTACTCACTGCTCAATAACAGGTCAGGATGAGTGACTTACCAAGCTTGGCTTTTGGGTAGGAGGTATTATTGCAACCAAACCTAATACTATCTCCCAACCCTTGCTTTGGTCACCTTTGTTAACATTGCCCTTCTTTTCTGAACATGCTTGATGGCCAGACAGGTTTTTTCTCTTATACCTTGTAACCAGGTCCAGAACCCAAGAAAGCAAGATGGCTACACCTTTTCAGAGGAAGCTGGAAATGTATTGAGTCTGGCAGTTTTGAGTTGACCACTGTTTTTCCTCCTTAGCACGTAACCAAGGCTTTGATGTGGTGCTGGTGGACACAGCTGGCCGCATGCAAGACAATGCCCCTCTGATGACTGCCCTGGCCAAGCTCATTACTGTCAACACACCCGACTTGGTGCTGTTTGTGGGGGAGGCCTTAGTAGGCAATGAGGCCGTGGACCAACTGGTGAGAGCTAGGACCTGTTCTCTTTCCACCTCAGCTTTGGCCAGTTAGGTGCTCACATCACATTTCTTTTTTTTTTTTTTTTTTTTTTTTTAAATTTATTTTATTTTATTTTTTTTTTTAAGATTTATTTTTATTTATTTATACAAGCACTGGGTACAGTCAGAAGCACGGGAGGGTGAGAGAATTCACCAGAGCCAGAGCGGGGAGCAGAGCAGGCAGAAGGACCGAAGTACACTGCTGAGGGGAGCAGCGGGCGGCAGGAGAGGTCTGCGCGCCATGTGGGACCCTCCTCCAGTGGCCGGGGAGCAGCCGGAGATCGAACCGGCACTGCAGAGGCTGCGGGCAGCTTCGCAACCCAGCGCTCAACCGCTGCGCCACCGGGGAGGCCCAACACATCACATTTCTTATACTCACCTCACTTTTGTCCTTCCAGGTCAAGTTTAACAGAGCCTTGGCTGACCATTCTATGGCTCAAACACCTCGGCTCATTGATGGCATCGTCCTTACCAAATTTGATACCATTGATGACAAGGTAAAAATGGATGACGCAGGACAAAGTAAAACTGGGAGAGGGAGTGACCATCCCTCACAGAGATGCTGAGGCTCTAAAGATCTGTTGCTTTCGAAGCTTCCTGTTACTGAGGAAGTACAGAGAAGTGGCGCTGAGTTGATAGGGTGTGTCCTTTTCTCCATTTCAGGTGGGAGCTGCTATTTCTATGACCTACATCACAAGCAAACCCATCGTCTTTGTGGGCACTGGACAGACCTACTCTGATCTACGCAGTCTCAATGCCAAGGCTGTGGTGGCTGCCCTCATGAAGGCTTAATGTGGCTCTTGCCCAATACCAAAACATTGCTTCCCCACCCCCAACCCCCCAATGCCCCTATTCCTGTATCAAGAATGTGCTTTAGAGTATGTGAGCAACTTGTCTTTGGTGTAGTACAAAGGCAGAGTGAAGGGAGCTCTTCCCAACCCCACTCCCTGCTCAGCCTGGCCCTCATCGGCAAGGAGGGCCTAATCATGTTACAATCATTGCTCATTGCCCCCTCCCCTCCATGGCTCTTCCCCTTCCTTCTCAGGCATTCCCTTCACTCTGCCTACAAACTTGGTCTTATCACAGCTTTGATCAGTGGTTGGAAGATCTACTGCCAGAGCTTTGCTTAGTGTGGTCATGGAGACATCTCTGCATAAATGAGCTGTGTGAAGGCCCAGCTCCACTAGGTTAAAGAGACTTCCAGAGCCAGCTCAGGGTCTTGAGTGGCCCTTCTCCCGAGGATACACAGCTTCCAGGACCACACCCACCACACTGGCAGTAAATGAAATGGCGTGTTCTTAATTGCTGCTAATTCTGATGACCCCAATCCCTATAATGCCCCTAAAGCATCAGCTAGGCCAGAGTGATTTGTTACAAATGAGTGAAAGATAAGCCCCCAATTCCCTCTGAAATTAAGGGAGCCAAGCTGCAGTGTTGCATTGGGCTACTCTGCCTTCCGACTCTTCCCCACTCCCAAAATCCAGTTGTAAGCTTTGCATGTTCCCCTTCTTGGGAGAAAACCAACTGTCAGAAGGGTATACACACGTTGCCCCCTCCCCCCACTCTTCACCTCCTGAGTGGGTCCTGGCTTTTCCTCATCCTCTCTACAGTGCCTGGTAGACAAGTGCTACATTGAAGAATCCAAACCTCTTGTTAAGACTTGTCCTGCAGCTTGGTATTACAGATGTGCTATTAGTGCAATAAGGTGAAGGCTGTCTGCCCAGAGAAATACATAATTTATATAAGAAAATAAATTTCATAAGTAAATTGCCTATTAGTTCTTGGAGTTATTTTACATAGGATTCAAAACTCAAATCCCACCTAACACTCTACAGTTCTAGGACTTATGGTAACAAAGGAAAACAAAGAGGAATTGATAATGCTTTGAGGAATGAGGCAAGTATGTAAAGGATTATCCTGAAAATGAGATCACTACGGTGAAAGACAAACTTAGGAAATTTAAATTGAATTACAAAAGTTAGGCTTGTTAGTACCTGTGCAGCTTAGGAGTTTTCTACTCAAGTGTCTCTAAAAGTAGAGCCCTGGGAAGTAAATGAACAAGCTTTTAATACAACTCAAGTTATGTAAAATACTGTACACTGTAAAAGATCTAGAAAACTAGAGCTTCAAGTCATGTTTTAAAAAAGCCATTAAGCTTAATTGAAAAACCAGGTATAGAGTACAAAACGGCAACAAGTCGTGATTCCATGGCCTTCAGAGCCCAAGTCCTTCATGCAGAGCCGCAGCCACTGTCAGTGGAGGTATCACACTGGTCTGCTGTGTGGAAACAGGCATGTCCAGCCTCGGGGTGGGGTGGGGTGGGGTGGGGGGCTACACGTGGGCCCCATGGTCTCTTGGGGATTCTTGAACTGGAACAGGCCACAGGATATCAAGAACTGGCTGGCATGAAGATTAAGTTGGAACATTCATCCCCCCAACCAACCCCCCACCCTTCAACCTTTGGGTTTGGAACTTCCTAGGAGCTGTGTTGGGTTCTTGTAAGTTTACTTGTTAAACACTGTCCACGGTGGGCCTTATAGCTGGGTCTAATGGTGATGATTTCTCCAGCCTTCATGTACTACAGTCTGTGGAGAGAAAGAAAAGGTAGAGAATAAAACAAAGTTCCACAAAAACAGGTTTATACAGCTAAAGCTACAAATACTTAAGCTTTAATCTTTCAGAAGGCAAGACATAAGTGGTAGTAGATACCTTGTAATAGACTTGATAGCAAAATATAGAATCCTTAACTGCTAGGAAAGACAAATTCTCCAAGGTCTTAACTATGTTCTAGGAAAACATTTTCTGCTGCCAAATCGACAAATAGAATAGGAAATAGTATACCTCTTCTTTCACTGTGTGCCGTAGATGAGCCATTTAGTTGACCTTCTCTCACCATCCCTGCTAAATAGAATGTATGTTAGTATCAGACATTAGACTGAAAAGTGAAAACTATTAATAGTAAAAAGAAATCCAGCCAGAAAAATGAGATGAAAATACTCAGTCTAAGAAGGATGACACTTTAGAAATGAGCATATTCTAGAAGAGAGGGCAGTGGGGAGAAAAAACTGGATTAGTCTGCAGATTGCTGTTATTAAAGAATGGAAGCAATAAGGTCTCTGAGTTCACCCAGCTTGCTGATAAACAAGATACTCTACCTGGGGAAGGTATTTGCTGCTCCTCGCTAGTCTAGAAGGCCAACTCGAGGTGGAAAAAAAAAAAAAATCAGTCTGACCAGGGGTGGAGAACAGTATGCAAATGAACAAATTCAACCAAGAAGAATAGTAAAAAGTATCTCTGGATACATAAAATGGGTAAGGTCTGTATTCTCCAACATGGTGCCATCAGCCATGTGGCTATTTCATTTTAGATCAAATTAAAAACTGTTCCTCAATCACTAACCACGTTTCAAGGGCTCAACAGCCACATGTGGCTCGTGGTTACAGTATTGAACTGTAAAGATTACAGAATATTTCTATCACTGCAGAAAATTCTACTGGACAAGAGTGGGACAGATAATGATGCAGGAGAAAATAAAAAACTGATACATGAAAGAAAAGAAGTCTGAATTTTACTCTTGGAAGAAAATCAGTCTACGTGATTAGCAAATTAGGGACTTTTAAAAAAAGCCCTGATAGAGTCAGCATTCTCCCACTGGAAAGCACTTTAGTGATATATATATCAACCACTAAAATGTTCATGCCCCTTGATCTAATTACACCGAGAACTCATCCTAAGGAAATTACTGACTAAAAGAAAAACTGTAGGGATGAAGATGTCATTCATTGCACAGTACTTACAATAGAAAAAAAATTAGAAATTGCCCAATGTAAGGTAATAATTAGGTAACCTATAACATTCTCACTGGCCTATAACATAGCCATTTAAAACAATGGTTAGGCACTATGGAGAGCTGTGTGGATATTTCTGGACCTACTAAACATAGAACTTCCATATGATCCAGCAATTCCACTCCTAGGTATTTACCCAAAGGACACAGAAACATCAATCCCAAAGAGCACCTGCACCCCTATGTTTATAGCAGCACTATTTACAATAGCTAAGCTTTGGAAACAACCCAAATGCCCAAAAATAGATGACTGGATCAAGAAGATGTGGTACATATACACCATGGAATATTACTCAGCATTCAAAAAAGATAAACACATGCAATTTGCAGCAACATGGATGGAGCTGGAAGGGATCATGCTCAGCGAAATAAGCCAGAAAGAAAAAGAAAAATACCGGATGGTCTCACTCATAGCAGGAATCTAGAAAACTTAAATAAGGGACCAGGAAAATGAATAACTATAAGAAAGCGAAAATCAAAATCAACAAAATACTAGGAACCAGAGACACTCTATGGGGGGTAGAGGGCGGGAGGGGAGGGAGGGGAGGATTTGGGGTCGAAATAAGGGGGTTGCAATTGTGCAATTGTATGGGGAATATAAAAATAAAATTTATTATTAAAAATAATAATAATAATAAAACAACGGTTAGGAAGACTAGCCATGTGGGAAAATCTGTGGTGCACTATGAAAAAGAGCAAGTATCAAAATGTATACTTTGTTTACAACTAAGCATTGGAAAAACTTCATTGGAAATGTCCCAAAATAACTGCTTGTATTATGTTAATGAATTATAAGATAATTGGTTTTCTTCTCCCCATTACTTGAATTTTTTTTAAAAATAAATGTACATAATTTTTTAAAAAAATTATGTAAGATTATCTTACATAATCTTTTGAACCCAGGTACTTTTCACTATGCAATGTAAGCACACAGCACAGTGCCAGGCGCACAGCAAATGCTGTGTTAGCTACAGCAGCAAAAGATCTTGCACCTTTTAGCAATGTATCTACAGAGACTCACCCAGGACGGAAGTTAGCCTTGTCTCAAAATGAAAGGTTTTTAATGTAAGGCTGTTCTGCTAGATTTCAAATTACAAGTTAGCTGATCACTCTATAAAGCCCTAGGCATATTGAAAATCCTGGTTTTTTAAAATTCAGAATACCCTGATGAGTGATACCTTTGGGGAAAGCCACTCTGGTAAGAAATCTACACAGCCAATAAAAGAACAGGAGTCACGGGCCTCCCCGGTGGCACAGCGGTTGAGCGCTGGGTTGCGAAGCTGCCCGCAGCCTCTGCAGCGCAGGTTCAACCCCCGGCTGCTTCCCGGCCACCGAAGGAGGGTCCCACATGGCGCGCAGACCTCTTCTGCCGCCCGCTGCTCCCCTTAGCAGTGTACTTCGTCACTCTGCCTGCTCTGCTCCCCGCTCTGGCTCTGGTGAATTCTCTCACCCTCCCGTGCTTCTGACTGTGCCCAGCGCTTGTATAAATAAATAAATAAATAAATCTCAAAAAAAAAAAAAAAAAAAAAAAAAGAACAAGAGTCACTTTACAATATGTGTGATGATTTTGTGCAGCAGGAACAACTGTCAGGAGGGATTTTTTTTTGTGGTTTTCAATTTATCATCTTCCCTGGGTAGAAGATCTCAGAGTATAGGTCAAAAGAAATACGTGGAGTTTGGTTTTGTACCTCTGGTTTAATGAAACAAATGCCCAAAGGAAAAATCTACACAAAGTCCTAAGTAGGACAAACAGCAGCAGAAAATCTGAATATTGCAAGACAGCAGAAAACATCCCTCAGAAAGAAGAATAGTTTCCCAGGAGAGATAAACTGAAAGGTTTGTAATCTTGGGGTTTTCTAAAGCCTTCGGAAGTGAGGGTAGACAGAGTTTTCAAAACTCCCTTATGGTGATGCTTTTTACAATTTTATTCCATCAAACTATAGGCATGGAGAATAAGAAATGAGGACATTCATTACAGGAGAATCCCATTTGAAGCAATCTGATTCAGAAAAGAAATTTGGGAATGATTATTAGACTCAGGGAAAAGTTATTTATATATTAAATAACCTGTACCTTAACAGGTGTCCCTGTTGAGATTGACAAGAAAAACACATGTAACCTTCAAGAACATAATTCTATTTGTAAAAAGCAAAGTTTCTTTGGAGCTGGCCAAGAGAGTCAGAATAACCATATCTAGGGTCTGGTTTTAGTCAATAAATGGTTTTAAAAAACACTCTTCAATTTAGCTGATAGCAAAAACTTCTGCTTTTTTATAAAGTTACTGGGAACTTGCCTGGAGCCATTAATAAAGTGAATCTTTTATCCTCATTTGACTCTATCTTTCTAATGCCTGGAGTAAAATATCAAATAATGGCACCGCTAACCTCTGACTTTAATATCACCAAAGCTGTCTCCAAATATCACTTTAAAAGCTTTTTTCCCTACTTATAAAGATTATGCATATTTATTATAGAAAATGCTAACACAGATGCATCAAATTTAAAAGCACTTTAGATTCTACCGCATACAGATTCTTCCAGAATATTTCAGGTACTTTTCTATACAAACACACAAACATAGACTATATCTACAAGTTTTATGAATGGGACTAGCCATGGTGGGTTTTAAAATTCATTTTTTCTTCTTCAGTACAATGTCTCTGGCATTTTTGGGGACAAGAAAAAACATTTTCCCTTTTATGACTTCATTTTATTTCATCAATTTGAATAAACTCTGGCTACATATAGGATTCCCTATTACCTGGGACATCTTAGGCTGCTTTCGATATTTTGTCATTATTTAAAACACTGATTATAGTCTTTGTGCAATTGTGTAACTGCACAATTTCCAATTATCTCCTTAGGAGAAATTTCTCCAATAACAAATTGTATTGAGTGGGCCAAAGATTTTAAAATTTTGAAGCCATTACAGAAAGCTCCAACTTTACCATCCCGTCAATGCTGTATTTGTTTTCCTCATAGCTTTAGACAAAATTGAGCTATTTCAAATCTAAATTCTAATTGCATTTCAGTGATAATCAGGTGAGACTGAATATTTTTTCATTCTTCCTATTTCTCTATTAAACTACTGAAGTATATCCTTTATCAATTCCCATTTATCCCAAAGATATGTTAGTCTAACCTGGACTAACCATGATGTCCCTCCACCATTTGGTTAACTTCTTCGTAACTATTTTGACTATCACAAATACACAGAAGGCTGAAGATTTGCTGCTCTCTGATCCCTGTCAGTCTCAAAATGCATCTTACCTGATCTACCCCTCGTGGAGATCTCACACGTCAGCCGCTTGAAGTATTCCGGAAGATCAGCATATTCATTTCCATAAGAGATGACCTTAATCCCTTTGTCCAGCATGTTTTCTCGAAGCTTCTTAAATTCATCTACGTCTCCTCTCCGAACCAGCATGAAATGTTCTAAGTCAGATTTATGCTTGACAGCCTCCAGAAAGAGGGCTTGGAAAGTGGTGTCATCCACAGTCCAGCCACAACCCAGGAAAAGAAATGACTTGTTTTCATAGAGTTTCTGAATCTCTCTCTTGCAGGAAAAGAAACAGTATATTAATGACACCACAAACGCACAAACAAACAAAAGGCAATCAGGTCCTATGTGGCACACTGGGCAGACTGTGATGGCCAGTTAGCCAAGATTTAAGTGGGTACACACATCCCATGAAGGAGCATGAGCTTCTTGTTCATTACAGTAACCTAATGAATCGTTTTGATTGTATTTTTACCAGATAGTCTACTGTAGGCGCTCTATCCAGCAAGCACTCTATTGGTCTGGTAGTTTATACTTTAGATCTTTGTGCCCAGAGGTCACAGAGCAATGAATGAGTAGGTCTTTGATGTATCTTATTCTTTCCATTTTCTGGAGCATATGTGCCTTTTTTTTTTTTAAAGCCTTATGACCTGATCCATGGCTCATCAGAGAAGACAATCCCATCATTAAATTTGCTCAAAGAAAGTATGATACTCAGAACATGTAGATGTGTATACATACATGAATACATATACACATACATACAAAGCATTAGAAATGATTCTGCTTACGGGATGACTCAATGTCAGTGATCAATACAGTTACAATAGATGTCAGGAAAAAACAGGTGGGGAAAAAGTCTCTTAAGCTTTAGAAAATGCCATACTTTCTCCGTCTTTCTTTGCCACAGCATGGAATGATACTAACATTCTCAGTGACACAGTGCTGAAAACAGCCAGTATTCATGCTCAGAAGTGGGGACCAGTGACTGGCCACGAACACTTCTGGTTTGAACATGTACGAGTGAACAAGTATAAAACTTGCTTCTCAAAAGATCAGAAAGTTTTTCCACAAAGAAGAAAATCTCAATTTTATCACTGTAACTGAATTTTTTCCAGTGAACCATAAAAATGAGGTGTGGTAATTCAATATAAATCTACCACCATTTACACAAAATTTCCTTAAAATGTATGTTTTAGTAGGAATGAATCAGTAAAAAGCTGAACTATAAAAAACCAAATGATAAAGGGTAAAATGTATTCTCTGCATGTGAAGATAATGCCAGTGACAGGGTGCCATCTGCTGGCTGTCAATCAGGTACAAAGAAAACCCCACATGTGGCTTGATAGCTGAGGAGATGGTCTACATTTCCTAAGGTGACAAGCACACCAACAAGCTTAGAAACACAGGAAAGAATGTTTGGCCTTTGCATTTTTAATTATTAAAAAGAATATGTTATTCCTTGAAGACAAATTGCATATTTAGATTTTCCAGGAGGGCTTTCCCAAACCAGCAAGGTCAGCACAACTCACCATAACTTCAGTGTTCCTGAGCACATTCTGATACCCAGCTGGATGAAGGACAATGCCACTGGGGTTGGTATAGACCCCATGGATGTGTAACACGCTCAGCTTCCGCTTCTCCTGAGCCCACTCTAGGACCTGCACAACATAAATACAGCTCAGCCAGGTTGGCAGGGCTGAGCACTTGTTTAAAGATTCCAATGGGCAAGAGGCTGTTTTGAGGATGAGGCTTCCGACATAACACCAAAGTCATGACATCACAGGGCAAGAATGCCAAATCTGATGTGGCCTCAGTTTCCACTACAGGCATGACTGTTAGGACTGACGAAAAGAAGCCTAGTGCTTTCTCTTCGAAAATAATAAAATATTAGGATTCATTTGTCATCATTTGTAGAAACAGTAGGGGCTTTTCTCACATATGACAGCTAAAGAGGACTGTCCCAGGAATGATCACTAAGGTATCAAACCACCTTGTATTGCCCCTTTTCACACTTACTCCAAACTTGGGCAAATGGCTTTCACACTTACTCCTTTAGCCAACAGGGCATGAACAAATTTGACATCAACAAAAGTTGGAATAATGTTGGCAGACTCTTACTTCCCTTTTACTACTTTTGTAACCCAGCTACAAGTGAACAAGGCTGGGCTAGCCGGCTGGAGATGCGAGGCCCAGCGCACAGCCTGACCGCACCAACAGACAAGGAAGCAAGGCCATCTTACAATGCTCAGCCTGAGTCTGACCACAAAATGACTGCAGCCATGTGGGTGACCAGCAAAACAGCAGAAGAAATGCCCAGTTCAGATACTCCCCAGTTTAATTGCTAGTGCATGTTATCACAGGCAAATAAAATGCTGTTTCAAGCCACAAAGTTTCAGGGTGGTTTCATCTTGCAGCAATTGATAAGCAGTAAAAGAATCACTTCAGTCACTCTGAGCTCCTTACAAAGCTATCAATGAAGAACACCCATTTAGGTGACAGCTGCGCCAACAGCCACCTGCATTCAAGATTCCATTTTCCCATGGATTTGAGACAATATAAATTATTAACATTCTAGAGAAATATGGTAAGATTAGGAAAAGTAGTTAAGTGCACAAAGAGTTAGAATTTGAATATTACCAGGCCCTGTTCTGACTGCTCAGTCATGACTTTAACCATCACCCATATCATCCCTAATGTTTGTTAAAAACACAAAGCAAATCTCAAGCTTTGAGATTTTAAATGCAGCGATGGAAAATGTCAAGTCTGACAGAGATCCTTAACTTCTGATGTTGGCCATGAGCTCTGAAGATACATCAGAAACACATGGAAACGGTTGCCAGTCATTCATTTTTGTATTTCATTCAAGCATCTATTAACTCTAAAATATGTACTGATAACTTAGTATGTGCTATCTGCGACACTAAAGTAAGAAAGGCTGACATAGTTCCTATTCAAATGGTTATATTCCTGTGAGGTAAACAAACGGGTTAAAATAAAATTAAAAAGCCAGAGTAAGCACTATGAAGGAAATACACAAAGAAATAAGGCTGGGTTCCTTCCTTTCCACCTTTCTAAATACCAGTACTACTTTATTTTTATTTATTATTTATTTATTTTTTGTGGGGCCCTCACTGGCGGCCGGGAACGAACCGGCGCTGCAGAGGCTGTGGGCAGCCTCACAGCCCAGCGCTCAACTGCTGCACCAGCAGGGGAGGCCCTCAGAACTACTTTAAATAGAAAGGTCAGAGAAGGCATCTTAGAGGAGCTGAACTGAAGTAAAGCTTCACAGGTAAAGAATGAGTGGGACTATAACACATGGGGGAAAATATTCTAGGCAGAGAAAATCAGTCTCTCTGACACCATTTTTTAAATTTGATTTCCTTTTAAAATCTGACAAGAGCAGTATTACACTACTACTGTGGCAGAGGTGGCCCTGTGACAATGGATACATCCAATGGGGAAATCACTTGTCTATTCAAACTCTATTTAGCTGGGCTCCAAGTGGGATATAAAGGCAGGTTCCTGGGAAAACAAAGTGTGGAAGAAAAGTTATAGGACAAATGAGACCTGGTGGTGTTTTACAAACTGTTGTTTTTTGATTTATTCACTATGTCTCAGACTTTTCTTTATGGTGGTGAAAACATTATTATTATGGCTTCACTGTGTTTCATCAATTAAATACACATTGGTGTATCTATAGAATCTCCTATTGGTACTAGATTTCACATTATGAACTCAGATAAAATAACTATTCCAATAAAGCCTCATCTTGTTAGTTCACACAGACCAGTATCTGTAATTTAGATGGGGTATGGGGCCCAGGTCATCTGGTGGAGGGTGAAAAATTAATCAAAACAAAAACTCCTATAATTTAGTGGATGGCTAGTTTAGTGGATGGCTTAGGTGTAGCCTGGGCTACCTTTTCAAAAAGTGTATAGAGGCTTCCTTGAACACTGATCTCAATCAGCTATTACCTGCCTAGACATTGCTCTTCCAAGACCTTATAAAGCAGTTTTCACACATTTCCAAGGAATATCATAAAGAATATATTCTAAGAGGGAGCTCTAAATCAGTACTACACCTGCCTGATATTATTAAGCATTAAAGAGGTATTAATAGTTCAAATGACTTTCTATAATCTTGCTTTAAATTGCGTGACATTGTCAAAACTCACAGAACTGAACACTTTCACAATCTGTGCCTTTTACTATATATTACCTCAAAAACCAAAATCCAACCAGGAACAAGAATTTTCCTTCTTACCTTTACATGGATACCAGTACTACACAATACAATAACAACAAAGGGTTTTTCTGATAAAGATACAATCCACCTGTCTGAAGAAAAGACTACTACTTTACTTTTTACCTTTTTCTCATCGGTAAGGTCAAGGGATTCAAGTTGTTTTCCCTGATCGGCTGCATACAGTTCTAGCAGATTATCAAAATTTGTAGTTAACACCAGGGCTCCATTTTCCATCAGGTGGAGAACTGACTGAAGTAGCTGTTTTCCAGAATCTTCCATTTTTGACTCCAAGTCATCAAATACTTCATATAAACAGTCTTTGAAAAATGTGGATCGGACATTACTAGTACGCTAGGGAGGGATTTAAAAGAGAAAAATTAATCCTAGGTGTTTTGGTAGGTCATTTGTTTTAATTACAGTAATAGCACACTCTTGAAGAACACTCTGTACTTAAATAATGATAAAGTAATGTTTACCTCACAGGGTTACAATAAGTAAAACAGGATAACAGGATAAGTATTCAGGATAAGTAAACAGGATAAGTATTCAGCACAAGGCCTAGGACACAGCAAGTGATCAGTACCATTACAGCAGGTGCCAAAAAGCTCCTGCTCTCTAAATCAGCAATTTTATAGAATGAAAAAAAGAGTCAAGAGGTGTGATTACCAGGGTTAAAGGAATGCTGAGGTAGAAAACCCAGCACCAATTACTCTCTAACAAGGTTCTAGGTAGGAGGATAATACTTCATCTGTTAGACTTTCCGTGTCTAGGGAACAGCCACCAGAAGACATTGCTAAATGTGTCCAGCATCTTTTCTGGTTCTGTCAGTCACTGTTCCATGCTAATCAATCATTGAACATGTTTTTTACAGATGCTATGGGTTTAGGAAAAAACCGCTTAACTTCTCCTTGTCTGATTATTTCCCCCCTGGCATAATTCAACAATTTGTTTACAGGTATGCTAGGAAGAATATTTTGAATATTCTCAGGGTTATCAAATATTTGCATTTTGCAATTGCCAACAACATTAAAAACTAACCAGTTCTGAAGAGACTCCCTATTTCTTAAGCATATGGTTTATTTAAATAACTGCTTTCCCAGACTTATTTGAAATAAATGCAATTATCTTTAAGAACTAATGAGGAGGGCCTCCCCCGTGGCGCAGCAGTTGAGTGCTGGGTTGTGAAGCTGCCCACAGCCTCTGCAGCGGCAGTTCGATCCCCGGCCACTGGGCAAGGGTCCCACATGGCACGCAGACCTCTCCTGCCGCCCGCTGCTCCCCTCAGCAGTGTACTTCAGTCCTTCTGCCTGCTCTGCTCTCCCCTCTGGCTCTGGTGAATTCTCTCACCCTCCCGCGCTTCTGACTGTACCCAGTGCTTGTATAAATAAATAAAAAATAAATCTTTAAAAAAAAAAAAAAAGAACCAATGAGGAAATATAATTCCAACCTCATGTAAGAAGTTGGCTTTCTGGGACAAAATCTGAAATGGGAAAGTAAGTTTGTAACATGCTACAGCAAATGTCTGACCTCTTTCCTATTCCTGTAATATAATCTATTAGGTAATAACCCAAGAATGAGTTCTTTCCCGTTCGAACACACATAATTGCACTTAGCTGCTAGACAATCCTCCTCTTTTTCCTCATACTAGTTCCCTTACCATCCTGGTTTTCTTTGTATGTCTTTCTAACAGTGCATGATAAAAGATCTGTTTCCATGGAACCACATAAGCAGATGCATGAAACATGCTTCAATTTGCCAAATTCTTTTCCTAATTTTTCTTTTTTTAAAAAAGATTTATTTATTTATTTATACAAGCACTGGGTACAGTCAGAAGCGCGGGGAGAGTGAGAGAATTCACCAGAGCCAGAGCGGGGAGCAGAACAGGCAAAAAGGACCGAGGTACACTGCTGAGGGGAGCAGCGGGAGGCAGGGGAGGCAGGAGAGGTCTGCGCGCCATGTGGGACCCTCCTCGGGTGGCCGGGAGCAGCCTGGGATCAAACCAGCACTGCAAAAGCTGCGGGCAGCTTTGCAACCCAGCGCTCAACTGCTGCGCCACCGGGAAGGCCCTTCCTAAGTTTTCAAAATATGTAATCATAAAATATAAAATCATAAACAAAATATGAAATATTTCATAAAGAATAAAATCATAAAAATATAAAAGTCATCTCTTCTTTAAAATAAATAGTAAATATTTTCACAGTACAAAAGCAAAACAGTACGGATGCCTGGTGGTGATAAGCCCAGAAATTTTTCTGGTGCTATCAATCACTGTTCCATGCTAATCTTCGACTAGACAGGTCCATAGGCAGTGAGCTCAAAGATTCTTTTCTAGTGCTAAATAGATGGCGCAGCCCATAATTTACGTGATTAAGAATGTAGATAGGGATTTTGAAGTTTTGTCCTTTTTCATGCAATAGCATAAACAGTGACATAACATATCAGCAGCTCAAAGGCAACCAATTGGACACTCTAACACAGTTTATCAGAATGAACAATGTGACCAGGAACAAACTAAAGAATTTCTGGCCTTAGTTAGGGCATTTCACTACATACAAGAATCAACTACTATTGAATCCAGGCAGTCTTCTAGACTTGTTATTTAAAAAAAAAAAAAAAAAAAAAAAGGGCATCCTTTTAGTGTTTATCAAAATTATAACCTATTTACCCACATTACCTACAATCTTACAATCCCACTTCTGAGTATATATCCCACAGATATAATTGCAAATAAGGTTAGCACTGCTCTGTAAAAAACTAGAAATGAGTCAACTATACATATAGAGGAGACAGGGTGTGCAAAGATCTCCAGGTAATAGCGTAAAGTAAAATAAACCAGGTGCAGATTAGCATGTGTAGAATGCTACCTGTTCACATGGAGGATAGAGGTAGTAAGAAAAGAATAAATACAGCCTTATTAGTTTGTTTTTTACAAAAACAAACACTGGGAGGATATACAACAAATATCTAAGACCGATGACCCTATGGGGTAGGGTGAGTTTGGGGAGAAGAGGTAGACAAAGATATAGGTGGGAGTGAAATGTGGTGATACATATAAAATTTTTTATATCATTTCTGCAATGAATGACAGTAGCTATTCAAAAAAGCAAGATTAATTTTAAAATTAAAGAATATGGTGATTGTAAGAGCTTCTGTAACTTCATTTTGTACCCTGATTCTCACACACACATATTATACAACACCAGTTTAATCATTACACACATAGGTAAGAACTCCTGGGCCTACAATCAGGTAATCATGGTATAGAATATATTTTCTTGCCTCTAAGAAAAAGAAATAAAAAGGTTAAAATCTGGAAATAAATGTCATGCTCCGCCAGCTATCTTTCAGTCCTATGACTTTAAGTTACTATATCCTCACATCCACAGAAGGGAGAGAGGGTACTTTGTAGCTGCCCTGATTTCCTCAGACTTAAAATGAACATGTTTTGAAGTGGATGACCCTAGAACTAAACTTCCCACTCTCTTATTCTCTAAGTAAAGACAAAGGAATGAAAACAAACAAGGAGCTCCACGGTCTAAAGGAAATGCCAAACTCCCACATAAATTTTTGGACATTTTCTCATTCATTTAAAACATTTCCTCTACCCTGTAACCCTCACCTTCCTGACCCCAGATATAGTAAAACCAACAAAAATCCTGACTCTTTTCCACTTAGGGTAATAACATGTATTGAGCATATACTACGTGCCAGACACCTATACATTATCTCATTCACTCTTCGCAAAGCCCCAATGAAGTAAGTATACCAGTTCTACAGGTACGAAAATAGACTCTGAGGAGTAATTTGGTCCAGTGCCCCAGTGCATTTAAATGGCAGTCTTTGTGATTCTGCAACCCAAGCTTCACACACTGAACAAACTATCACTTCCTTAATATAGGAAACAGACTCAGTAAAGGTGCGAATTAGCCCTGACATACTACTGTTGGTAGGATTCTTAAAAAAAATGAGGGGGGGGATAATTTCAAAATAGTTTTCTTAATCATATTAGGGCAATATTTGTCTTTTAAACTATGCGGATTATTTGCACAGATGGTACAAAAGGAATTATGAGGACAATTGCTGGTGCCTTAGCTTGAGTCTGTGCCAGTCACTGCCGTAGAGCTACAGGAAGATAAAATGCCAGTTTTACTTAAGGATATTCTTAGTGAAGCAGTAAAATTATTAATTGAATTAAATCTTGACCCTTGAGTACATGTCCTTTCAATCTTCTGTGTGACGAAACAGGAAGAATGCTTAAAGCATTTGTGCTGCAGAGTGGAACGGATGGCTGGTTTGAGGTAAACGCTTGGCCGATCATTTGAGTTGTTAGCAGAACCACCTTTTTATATCAAACATCATTTTTACTTGAAAAAATGACTGCCAGAAAAATTGCTATTCACATTTGGGTATCCTCATGCATTTTTGCAAAAATAAATGAAGTGAGCTCTGCAACTCTTGCTCCGAGGACCCCGCTCCAGAGACACAGCAGCGCTCCACCGCCCACACCCACAGCGCGCCAGCTCGCGTCTCCACCCGGACCAGTCCGCGCCACCGCAGCCGCCCAGCCCACCGCCACCCTCTGCAACCATGTCCACCAGGTCCATGTCCTCGTCCTCCTACCGCAGGATGTTCGGTGGCCCCAGCACCTCCAGCCGGCCGAGCGCCAGCCGGAGCTACGTGACCACCTCCACCCGCACCTACAGCCTGGGCAGCTCGCTGCGCCCCAGCACCAGCCGGAGCCTATACACCTCGTCCCCGGGAGGCGTGTACGCCACGCGCTCCTCTGCGGTGCGCCTGCGGAGCGGGGTGCCCGGCCTGCGGCTGCTGCAGGACTCGGTGGACTTCTCGCTGGCCGACGCCATCAACACCGAGTTCAAGAACACCCGCACCAACGAGAAAGTGGAGCTGCAGGAGCTCAACGACCGCTTCGCCAACTACATCGACAAGGTGCGCTTCCTGGAGCAGCAGAACAAGATCCTGCTGGCCGAGCTCGAGCAGCTTAAGGGCCAGGGCAAGTCCCGTCTGGGGGACCTCTACGAGGAGGAGATGCGGGAGCTGCGCAGGCAGGTGGACCAGCTGACCAACGACAAAGGCCGTGTCGAGGTGGAGCGCGACAACCTGGCCGAGGACATCATGAGGCTCCGGGAGAAGTTGCAGGAGGAAATGCTTCAGAGGGAAGATGCCGAGAGCACCCTGCAATCTTTCAGACAGGATGTTGACAATGCTTCGCTGGCACGTCTTGACCTTGAACGTAAAGTGGAATCCTTGCAGGAAGAGATTGCCTTTTTGAAGAAACTACATGATGAAGAAATCCAGGAGCTGCAGGCCCAGATTCAGGAACAGCATGTCCAGATCGATGTGGATGTTTCCAAACCTGACCTCACTGCTGCTCTGCGTGATGTGCGTCAGCAGTACGAAAGTGTGGCTGCCAAGAACCTTCAGGAGGCCGAGGAATGGTACAAGTCGAAGTTTGCTGACCTCTCCGAGGCTGCTAACAGGAACAATGATGCCCTGCGCCAGGCAAAGCAGGAATCAAATGAGTATCGGAGACAGGTGCAGTCCCTCACTTGTGAAGTGGATGCGCTTAAAGGAACTAATGAGTCTCTGGAACGCCAGATGCGTGAAATGGAAGAGAACTTTGCTGTCGAAGCTGCTAACTACCAAGACACTATTGGCCGCCTGCAGGATGAGATTCAGAATATGAAGGAAGAAATGGCTCGACATCTTCGTGAATACCAAGACCTGCTGAATGTCAAGATGGCTCTTGACATCGAGATTGCCACCTACAGGAAGTTGCTGGAAGGCGAGGAGAGCAGGATTGCTCTGCCTCTTCCAAACTTTTCTTCCCTGAACCTGAGGGAAACCAATCTGGAATCCCTCCCTCTTGTTGACACCCACTCAAAGAGAACACTTCTGATTAAGACGGTTGAAACTAGAGATGGACAGGTTATCAATGAAACTTCTCAGCATCATGATGACCTTGAATAAAAAGTGCACACACTTGGTGCCACAGTATACTACCAGCAAGAATAAGAATTACATATATTAAAGAAACAGCTTTCAAGTGCCTTGCTGCAGTTTTGGTAGCACAAGATAGATTTGGAGTAGGAGTAAGTTCTAGTTCTTAAGAACCAACACTCATGAAAGAATTAGAAATAGAGTTTACTGCATAATCTAGTTAATGAAGGAGACTTGTGCTAGAATACTTTCTGAAAAGTATTTTTGACTACCATAAAACTGCTTTTTTTCAACAACTATGTGATACCTTGTGCTGCAATAAATATTTGGAAAACAAAAAAAAAAAAAAAAAAAAAAATGAAGTGAGCCTGTCAAGTGAGGACAAATTAGAATTTTAGAAAACTTTCATTTGCCAACATGTGTCTGACAGCTTCCAAGTCCCTTTCTGATAAGACTGCTGATGATATTTAAGAATATAACTTTTCATTGTGTAGTAAAATGTTTCAACATCTAGAAAATATGTATAACTTAGTGAATCATTATTTCCCAAATATCCAATATATGATATCACAAAATCATGCATGGGTGAGACTTATTCTAAAGGCAAGATGGATCAGTGGATATTAATGCCACAGAATAGGAAATGTTCAGATGCCCTATTACCATCACTGGCTAGCATCTGATTTCAGATTCCATATTGTTATTATGCTTTAGGAAGCTACCACTTGCTCGGTTTTTGATTTTCAATAAAAAATATCTACAGTTATCTAAAAGACTATTAAAAAACTCTTTTTCCCCAACTATGTATCTGTGAAACCTGATTTTTTTCATTACTTAAACCAAAACACAACACAAATACAATGAACTAACTACAGGAAACAGATAAAAAATCCAGCTGTTTTCTATTAAGTCAGACAGATTCACAAAAATGTGACACCAATACTACTTCTCTCAGTAACTTTTGCTTTGGAAAATATAATCATTTTTATTAACGTATTATTTATGTAACTTGTAAAAATGGCTTCATTAGTATTTTAAAATCAGCATCTTAAAATTTTCCGCTTTAATCTTTGATACAGTGATATTGACACCACCCACATAAAGAAAAGCTGTTTGAGATTTTCAATAAACTTTAAAAGTGTAAGAAACTGTTGAGACCAGAAAGTCTGATAATTGTGATTCCGCTGGAATGATTCTACAAATATACTTTATGGTCAGTAATAAATCTTCATCTATAAGTAAACAGTAACTCTAGTTTGATACCTTTGGTCAATACAGATTTATTCACATTAACTTTAAATCTCTTTCTTGTGGACAGTAACTAATCCAACTAGCAAAATCATGCTTTCTATTCTTAGGAGACCATTTTCATGAATGAGTGAATTCATGTAAATAGGGTGGCATGGCAACACTGTGTGTTCAGTTTAAAACAGGACTTCCTCATCCACAGTCTAGTCTTCCCAGACTATGGTACTCTTTTTCCCCATAAAGTCTTTTTCTTTCTTTTTAAGAAAATATCATTTTTATTAATTAACATGCTAACACTCCTCTTCGGCATGTTTTCCTTACAGTTTTTGGCTATCTAGTTTTCAATTATCCTTCTATCCCAATAACTGCTTTTTTAATTTTTTTTTAAACTGGTTTTTTAACATTCAAAAAATTATGTCTTCCTTCCTCTCTGCTCTGTCAGATAGTAATATAACCACCCTTCTTTTCTTTTCTTTTCTTTTTTTTTAAAAGTAACATAGCTTTCTTTTTTTTTTTTTTTAAATTTTATTTATTTATTTATACAAGCACTGGTTACAGTCAGAAGCGCGGGAAGGTGAGAGAATTCACCAGAGCCAGAGCGGGGAGCAGAACAGGCAGAAGGACCGAAGTACACTGCTGAGGGGAGCAGCGGGCGGCAGGAGAGGTCTGCGCACCATGTGGGACCCTCGTCAGTGGCCGGGGATCGAACCGGCGCTGCAGAGGCTGTAGGCAGCTTCGCAGCCCAGCGATCAACCGCTGCGCCACCGGGGAGGCCCTAACCACCCTTATTTTCTATTGATTGTTTGAGTCACACACCTTTCCCAACTTTCCAGCTTTATTTTTAGCAGTTTGATTGAAATATAACCCACATAACATACAGTCACCTATTTGAAGTGCACAATTCAACCATGATTTGTAGCTATACACACATGTGCAACCATCGCCACAGTCAATGTTACATTTTTATCATCTCAAAAAGAATCCTGTACCACCTAACGACCACTCTCCTGCCCTCCCTTCCTGCTCTCTGACAACCACTAATCCACTTTCTCTATATATAGATTTTATAGAACATTTCCTATTTTGAACATTTCCTTTGAACAGAAATATAGAAGAATAAAAGTAAGAACAGAAGTATAGAATATGTGGTCTTCTATGACTGTCTTCCATTTAGCATAATGTTTTAAAGATTCCTATCTGTTGTAGTATGAATCGGTACTTAACTTTTATTGGCAAATAATATTCCATTGGATGAATATGTCACATGTTTATTTATCCAGCTGGTGGACATTTGGGTTATTTCTACCTTTTGGCTATGTTTCTTCTAAGAGTGTTATAGTCTCCATCCTTTCATTTAGGTGTTTAATTCATTTTGAGTTAATTTTTGTGTATAAGCAGAGGTCCCATGAGTTCTATAAAGCCTAATAATTCTTTACATTTGTAACAATGGATCCCAATTAAGGACAAGGAAATAAATGAAGAAAAAGACCCTAAATTTCTGAAATGAGTCATGAACAAGGAGGATATTACTTTTCAATGCTTATTTTTCAAGCTAACTCTTAATGACTTCTTTCCCACAGGCCCTATGGCCTGGGGGAAAATCATCGCTGATAAATGACTTCATAAGCAGTAAAAAGCTGTATGTTTTTTCAAGATGTATTCGCGTATGATTTAGAACATGCTTTAAGGATTTTATTTTTCCAAATATATCTCAAGTGAATCCTGATTTTAAAGAAATTTTTATGACAAAGCAAGACAAGGCGGCCCTTTAATCATCCAGGAATTGATATCTGACTCAGTTCAATAAAGGACAGAATTTCTTACAAATACTGAGTGAGGGCCTCCCTAGTGGCGCAGGAGTTAGTCAGCACTATCAGCTATCACAGCCAAGAGTTCAATCCCCGGCCAGGGAGCTAACCCACAAGGCGCAGCAGACCTCGCCTGTCTTTCCTGCTGCTCTCCTTAGCAGTGTATTTTAGTAGATCTGCCTGTTCTGTTTCCCACTCTGTCTCTGGTGAGTCCTCTCACCCCCCCCCCTGAAATTCTGGCCTACACCCCAGTTCTTGTATGCATAAATAAAAATAAATATTAAAAAAATTAAAAAATAAACCCACAATAAAATAAACCCACAAAAAATAAACCCACAATAAATACTGAGTGATTCCTTTAAAAGGAACGTTAAAAACTGGAGTTGCTTCATAGTGAAAAATGGGACAATCTTATTTTTTGTAAATACAGAGGGCTCACCATCACCATCATCATCATATACCACACACTGAAGTGAGTCAAGACAACGGCCCTGAATAGGGACAGTAGACCATTTGCAGAACAGCCAAATGCTATGCAAATCTGGAAGCTAGAAATGAATATTCTATTGCATGTAGCATGCACACCACAGATTTAGGAACTTTTAAGTGCCAGGGGACACAGGAGGGTACTCACAGGAGAGAGTTTCTGGATAAGGTCATGGGCAACATGGACAAGGTTCTTGTCTTCATGGAGACATTTCTGAAATTTTTTGCTTTCCTCATCTTCTAGAAGATCAAAGTCAATGGCAGCATCCAGTAGGGCCTGAATTAAGCCCTTCCAGGATTTTAGGGCTGGAACCTGAGGGGCAACAGCAGCACTAATGCCTGTTCCAATCACCAGTACGAGTTCCCGAGGCTTCTTCGTTTTTAGGCTTGGAAGCAGCTTCCTGAAAAAGTCAAACAGGATTGGGAACATCCAGTACAAATGAGGTTCATGGGGAGATTGTCTCAAATTACGGTTTTTAGCTATTACATTTACAGTTGCAAAGATGACAAGCATGGGTGTCTGAGACCTATCCACAGTAGCTTAAGCAAAAAGATCAGACTACTAAGCCAGTGCTTGCTGAAAAACAAAGTAATAAACTTATTCTAGAATTCTAACAAACAATCTTAAAAATCAATTTTTTCCTTCAGAGTCCTTTCAACCTAAAAAAACCCCACTAATAGTAGGGAAATCACATCACATCACATCACAGTTTAGCTGAATTCTACTGAAATTATATTTTAATCCAACATTGAATTTCAAAAGAACATGTTTGATTTGCATTCCAGAGAGAAAAGAACCCCATACAAATTAAATTCCTATGACTGAGAAATGTAAAACAGAAGATGAAAGAAAGTCAATTAAAAAAATGCAAGCTCAGCAGCGCTGTGAAGCTGTCTGCAGCCTCTGCAGCTCCAGTTCAATCCCGGCTGGCCAGCGAGGGTCCCACATGGCGTGGCAGACATCTCCTGTCTTACCCACTGCTCCCCTCAGCAGTGTATTTCAGTCAGTCTGCCTGTTCTGTTCCCCGCTCTGTCTCTGGTGAATCCTCTCACCCTCCCATGCATCTGGACTGTACCCCAGTTCTTGTATAAATAAATAAATATTTTTAAAAATGTAAGCTCAAATTTTGTGAACTATTAAGGGAAAATTGAGCATGAGATAGTCCAATATGGGAAAAAATCTGCCTTCCGTTTTGTTCTAGATATTCTCAGGCAGAAAGAAAAGAAGAAAATAAATCTGGCCAACCAAATTCTGAAAACACAGGAGACTCACATAGCTAAATAAAGAAATAATTACTCAGACAAGGTGACAAAAAAGTGAAACACATTCATTTCTTACCATCCATGACACATGTATAGAGAGTTCTGTCTAAAGCTTCTATGTGAGACAGCAGAGAGCCACATTTCTCTGTTTTGTTCTTCACCCCCTCCCTTCATTCTGGAAACTTTATTAAAATCTGTTTGGAAATGTGTTTCTCCACATTAACTTTGGCAGGCATATTCCTCCCCCAACAAAAAACTGCCTTTCTTAACCTTTTGTCCAAATATTAAAATGAATAGAAACAAAAGGAACAGTACTCTTAACCTTGGGAAACCTGATTTTGGGGAAACAACCAACACAAGTGCCTTTTGGGGCCTCCCTGGTGGCGCAAGGGGTTAAGCACCATACTATGAAGCAATCCGCAGCCTCTGTAGCACAAGTTTGATCCCTGGCTGGCCAGGGAGCAGCCCACATGGCGCAGCAGACCTCTCCTGACTCGCCCGCTGCTCCCCTCAGCAGTGTATTTCAGTCGATCTGCCTGTTCTGTTCCCCACACTGTCTCTGGTGAATCCTCTCACCCCTCGCATCTCTGGCCTGTACCCCAGCTCTTGTATCCATAAATAAATAAATCTTAAAAAAAAAGAGAAGTGCCTTTTGGATCCCCCATTCCTGCACTCAGGCTTTCAACAAACATATGGACTTGTAAGTAAGTACCAGACACTACGATAGGCATTAGTGAGGTAACTATGAAGAACATAGATCTCAAAAGATCTACTGCAAAAGCCTGAGAATAGATATTAGAAGCAAACAATGAAAAACAAACCAGTTGAGACAGGGATGTATACATAAACATATACTCACATAAAAAATGTCTAAGAGTCACAAAGAATTGTAAACAGTGTTTAGCTCTGGGAATTAGAAAGGGTAAGGTGTTTTACTTTTTACCAGATATTGCTGTATTTTTTGTCATATATGTGTACATTTGAGGCAGAACTTTTCCTAATTTAGTACGTCCAGTTAAAAAAGGAAAAATGTAAAAGCTGTGTTTCCCTTCTGGGTCTTCTTAAAACCACCAACTAAGAGTAACCTTTAGAAATGGCACAAATTGGTAAAAAGTAGGAAGAATGATAGCAGATAACAGGGGTCAACAACATTTTATAAGTTGTAAAGTGAGAGCTGATTTCCTCTTTAGAACTTTGGGAATGCTCAGGCAGCTCTGGAAGCGGAAAGACAGAAAGAGAAGACTTAGGTACATGGTTGTGCCAGCAGCAGTTTTGGAGAGTTCTGGAGGGAACTCTGTTTTTGAGAATACTGTGCACAGCTCAGGGAGGAGAATTAAGTCAAAGTATGTTATGAAATTTAAGACTTTCAATTGGCCCCTGCCCCAGAGGAAGACTCCCAGACAATGGTAGCCTGTACCCTGTTCCCCGCCCCCCCCCCCAGTCAAGAGCTGGGGGGATTCCTCGTTGGGGAAAACAGCATAAGAGAAAAGACCCCCAGGTTCAATAGGTGGGAGTTCCTCAGCTGCACATTTAGCCCATGCTAGAGATCACAGTGAAATCTATAGGGACCAAGCACCTATACACACACAGGTTACCCAATTGGCTTTCTAGTGTTTTCTCTTAAACATGAACAGACAAAGAAGGATCACCTTACATTTGAGCAAAGATCCCAAGATCAGAGTTACCCCAAAACAAAGTAGCAGACTGAAAGGACCTTTCAGGAAATGAGAATATGGAAAAGCAAAGAAAGTTTAAAGAAAGAAAATAAGGCTCAGTACTATTTATTCAGTCTTACAATGTAAATACAATATAAATATAATGTAGATAAAATTTTACCAAAATGTGATATAAACATTTGGTTACAATGTTATTTCACATTTTAACCAAAAAATGTGATATAAAACATACCAGGAGGCTGTAGGGAGTGTGACAAAGTGTGTGAGGGGTGGCAATCTGGTAGGAGGATCCATGGAGAGCATGTCCAATCCTTATCTCCCATAATGAAACAAATAAAATCCCAAAACAAAGAAACAGTGATACACAGTTTTTAAAAATATGGGTGCAAAATATTAGAAGAAATGGAAAAGCTGAAAGTGGTTATCTCAGAGGAGGTGAGGCATTAGAAGCCTTGAAGTACTGACTTTTAAAATGAGATACATTTTTAACTTGAACAAAAACCAAAAATTGAAACCAAAGTTATTTGATTTTTATATGAAAGTCTGTATTAGTGAAAACAACTGGTATACTGGGTAAGTCGATTAATCTTCATTACCTACCATTAATGGTAATTTACTGTGCTGCTCGGATTCCCTTCCCTTGTTTACCTGGGCTTTTTGGTGGGGGGTGCGCCATCACTGAAGAATTCAAAAATCTTGTCTATATCAGAGGCCTGGCTCCCTGTAGAAGCCATCCAGTTTCTAAAATAGATTAAACACCATGAACCATGATTAGATCTGTAAAGTATACCATTCAAAACAGCATGTACATCAGACAGTTTTAATAAGCTGGATAACCTAAAGGTGTTTTAGAGAGGTCCTCTGTTTAACAGAAATTCAGTAATTAATGAACACCCAAGCTTGAGTTAAATTTATCGAAAGGTAAGAAACCTAAAAAGCATGACTCTGGTGCTCCATACAACCATCCTGCTTCTGTTTCTGAAGGCTCCCTTCTTCTCCCTCCTCCCCAACCCCTCCAAGCCAGTGTCAACTCATGTCAATTATGGCCATCAAATAAGAACTACTTATTTTCTAATGAGACAGATTTGGGAAAGATTTAGCAAATAAAAACAACCCATGGATAAGTGTGCTCATTACCCCCCACCCCAATTATCCATTTCCTATCAATTAAAGAATAGAACAAGTAATACTAATTTGCTGGCTGTTCCGCAGCCCATTGCTGGAACGACTGTGTGTTCACAGGCAGATTCTGCATGTCCTCCAACTAAACAGAGATGGTCTTTGTGTCACTGTAACGAATGGGAACGGTATTACTGAGCACAGATGTACGAAAACAACCAATCAGATGGTGGAAGGACTAGCAAAAGTAAAAGAATTAGTACAGGTCGGGATGAGTTATAGGTTTTAACTGCTTAAAACTTAAGTGAACTTGGTAAATTTAATTACTATTAATTCTAAAACAGCAGTAATGTTTTAATTTATAACACTTAAAAAATTTGTTGAATTCACTTATCTGATAAATAGAAGTTCTTCTCCCCATATTCCATCATATATAATAGAATTCTTATTTGGTATCATAGTAATCAGGAGAAAAGGAATCACAAATCACAGAAGTTGGTTCGAAGTAGATCATTTTACTAGTCAAATCTTTAATTCCACTGGTGAGAAAGCTGGGGCTTAATAAATCTCTCTAACTTAATAATCATCAGAGAAGTGTCTAAAAAGTACCAGTTCTTAAAAATATAGCTTATTAATTTAAATGACAGCATATATTCCTGGGCTCTAATTCCAAATTACTGAAACAGAGTCTCTAGAGTCTCCCGGGGATTCTTATGATGAGGCAAATAGGAAACACCTAAACAGAATGCTGTTTTTTGTAAAATCCAACCATTTTGCTGAATGTGGGGTCTGCTGGCATGTTGTATGCCACCTTCCCTTCCTTAAAGTATACACTGCAGTTTAATGGGTTCTTAGGTTGTAAATAACAATAGGAGCTAATCACCATTCAGATATTTCCATGAAGTTTTAAATTATGTGAAGTCACTTCCTACTCTAAAATCTAGACTGGAGAAATAGTTGGTAGCGTGGTTACTTCCACCACATACAGAACCACCCATCAGTTTGGGGATACTTTTTAAAAGCATACAGTGTCAACTGTACACGCGTATGCTCTTTCCCTAAATATGGTTCCAGACACACATGATTTGAACACACTGCACCCTTGTAAAGAACACTGTGTATTAAGAAAGATGACAGTAAAATGCAGAGGAAATTTAATATTTATTGTTTTGAAATACAAACATCTTTAGAATTCAGCTACTAAACCAGAGTTTCATTTCACAAACTCTTAAATAGTGCCTTCATTTCGCAAACTCTTAAACATGCCAGGCACTACTTAAAAATAACACATGTAGGGGCCTCCCCGGTGGCACAGCGGTTGAGCGCTGGGTTGCGAAGCTGCCCGCAGCCTCTGCAGCGCCGGTTCGATCCCCGGCTACTCCCCGGCCACCAGAGGAGGGTCCCACATGGCACGCAGACCTCTCCTGCCGCCCGCTGCTCCCCTCAGCAGTGTACTTCGGTCCTTCTGCCTGCTCTGCTCCCCACTCTGGCTCTGGTGAATTCTCTCACCCTCCCACGCTTCTGACTGTACCCAGTGCTTGTATAAATAAATAAATCAATCTTTTAAAAAAAAAAAAAAAAAAAAACACATGTAATCCCCATAAGCTTATAAAGTACTATTATTATTCCTGAGAAAACTGAGGTACAGAAAGACTGGGTGTCATAATTCAAATCAAGGGGGCCTGCCTCCCATGTCCATGCTCTTAATCCACCATTACTACCTAAAAACATTATTCAAAGATTAGTTTCTCTGGATAGATGCAAACCCCTACGCTCACACAGCGCTATTCCCAACAGTCAAGACATGGAAACATCCCATGTGCCTGGTGATGGATGGGTGGATTGAGGAAATGTGGCATGCATACCCGATGGAATACTTCCGGCTATTGAAGAAAAAAAAATGAACTCCTGTCATTTCTAACAACATGGATGGAACTGGAGGGAATTATGCTAAGTGAATAAATCCAAAGGAGAAAAGGCATATTTCATCTTCATTTGTGGAATAAAAAGGGAAAAAAGCAATCAAACAAGCAAAACAAACCATAAAACTCTGACAGCAGAATGATGGTTACCAGAAGGGAAGAGAACAGGTAAGGGGTTGACTGGTGGATGGTGGATGATGATGGGATATTTGGTAGCGAGCAAGGTGTGATAAGCACAGTTGCTAAATGAACAGCTACACCTGAATCAGATAGTGTTGTAAACTCATGTTACCTTGAATAAAAAAAAAAAAAAAAAAGTACTAGCTTCTCAGTCTTTTTTTTTTAAAACTTGCAGTGCTAAGAAGCAGACTTACTTGTACTAATTCTGAGGTGACCCTTACTAGTGGCTATATACCCAGGCGCTCTGCTGGTGCAATCTAGGCAGTCAGGTGAATTCGGCAGCTGAGCCAAACAGCCTTCTCTGGTGACAAGGACTATGGGTGACGTAGCTCCCACCACCAACCACCGCCCAGAAGCCTAGGTCAGTCTAGCATTCTTTCCTGGGAAATATGCAAGATCATTTTTGCTGGATTCCATTTCTGACAAATGGTCAATTCTTAATGTCTGTACCTGAATATTAAACTTTCTGATTTATTTTCTTCAGAATCACCTGCTTTGAAGGTCCGTTCCATCCGCTAGAAGAGAATTAAATATGTTCAACACTTCCTGATAAATTGTTACTGGAATGTTACCAGTCTTCTCATTTAACCCTTTGCACTCTGAACTATTTTATGATATTTTGATTTAATTTCTTGTGCCATTTCAAGATAAAACTTCAGGGAAACATGCATGTCTCAAAAAGTTGCGTTGAAATAACCTCAATTCCCCGTAATCACTAATAAATTCCAATGTCCCCTGAGAGGGGACAGCGGAGTGCAAAGGGTTAAGAACTGGATGAGAGGGCCTCCCCTGGTGGCGCAGGCAGGCAGTTGACCGCAGCCTCTGCAGTGCCAGTTCGATCCCGGCCGGGGGTCCCACATGGCGCGGCAGACCTCTCCTGTTGCGCCCACTGCTCCCTTCAGCAGTGTATTTCATCAGTCTGCCTGTTCTGTTCTCTGCTCTGTCTCTGGTGAATCCTCTCACCCTCCCGCACATCTGACTTGTACCCTGGTTCTTGTATAAATAAATAAATCTTTAAAAAAAAAAAAAAAAGAACTGGATGAGAGTAGTTCAATATGCCCACAGTCTGCTTGAGCATACACCCTTCCTGTTTTTTTTTTTTTTTTTTAAGCAGGGTAACATCTTCTCTTGAGTCTCAAGGATGCCTCATATGCATACACCACAGTGGCATCTAAGCACAAACCATTTTTAATTCTTTTCAGAGTAATGTTTCGGGGGAAAAATCCATTTTAGCATTTACCCTAAACAACATTCAGTTAAGAGCTTCCAAGCTAACTGGGAAACATTTACATAGGTTCCTAACATGTATTTAAAACTCTTTGAGTTTTCTTTTTTTTTCTTTTTTTTAAAAGATTTATTTATGTATACAAGAACTGGGGTACAGGTCAGAGGCATGGGAGAGTGAGAAAATTCACCAGAGAGAGGGGGGAGCAGAATAGGCAGACGGACCGAAGACAATGCTGAGGGAAGCAGCAAGCGAGACAGGAGAGGTCCACCATGTGGGTTTCTCCCTGGCCAGCCAGGAATCAAACCTGCGCTGCAGAGGCTGCGGAGGGCTTCACAGTGCAGTGCTCAACCCACTGCACCACCAGGGAGTCCCTGAGTTTTCATTTTAGTGAGACTTGTTATGAACAGCAGAGATGGAAAATGCTTTTCTGCCACAGGATAACGAAGACAGTTTCCTGTGGCACTGTCTTCTTTACTCCGATTACTGCAAAAGCCTCTGAAAAGCTCTTCAAGGCCAACAGAGTTTAGCAAAAACAAAAATCAGACACTAGGTAAATGCTGAAAAAAGTAACAGCAACCCCATCATCAAGTCTTCTTATAAAACAGGACATTTATATTTTGAAACCTGTCAGCTTGGCAGGAAACAGAAAGCTGGTATCTGTTGGATTTAAAAAGGGGAGAAGCCTAGGCAAGTGTTCTAGGAAAAATCCATTAAGAAACATGGGAAAGGAACAAGGGAAAAGGGACTGGTTATCTGAATAAATTAAGTTTGTACAAAGTAGAGTACTCTGGATTTGAAAGCAACACAGAATCCCAGCAGTCTCACTTTCACAGCATCTTGGCATCAGCAAAGACAGCAAAATCAGGTTCTTCTTTCCTTTTAAGAACAGAGTGAGGACTCCCAGGCTGCCTTCCTCAAGCTGAGCGATGTGTTACTTACTTACTCCCTGAGCTCCCAGGGTATAGTCCTCAGCTCAAACAAGTGACAAGCCAGAAAGAACTCAGAACAACATGCTCTGGTATATGGGTGGATGGAATAAATCGAGAGCAAAGTTCTAACAATGACATTTTTGCCTGGTAATAAAAGATCTACAAATGGCATATTTCTTGCTTCAAAAGATCAGCTGTAGTTTCCAGCAAGTTCCAGCCTCTCCCCTTCTGGCCCCAATTAAAAAAATGAAACAGTGAATGAAAATGAGGACTGGTTTATTTTTCTGGCATAAACACAGAAAAGGGTTAACTTCATTTTTTAAGGGAAAAAGATAGTCATCCTCCAACTTGGAAGAAACAAAC